GTAGATATGGTTATGTCTACCTTGAGACATAAATCTGAAGCCTTTGATAATTCAAGAATTCATAAATGAAGTACGAATATGTTGGGCAAAGTTTAAAGCTCTTTCGGATCGAGGAGGTGAATACTTAAGCTCAGGGTTTTTAGAGTACCTGAAGAATGTGGGATAGTATCACAACTCACCCCTCCTTATACACCCAACACAATGGAGTTCAAAGGAGGATAATGACCTTACTTGACATGGTTAGGTCCAGATGAGTTTTAGTGATTTACCTGCATCTTTGGGTTAGCCCTAGAGACTCACGCCCCATTTGAACCTGTGCGTCAAAGTCTGTAGAAGACTCCATATGAGCTATGAGATGGCGAAAGCCAATTTGTCTTATCTAAGGTTTGGGGTTCGAAGCATGTATAAATTGACTTCGAACAAGCTGGGCCCAAAATCCTAAAATGTATATTTGTGGGGTATCCAAGGAGACCAGGATACTATTTCTACCACAGAAGAGCCAAAATTTGTTGCTCACTGATGTCTTCTTAAAAGATTTTTTTCTAAGAATATTAGTGGAAAAAGTAGAACTGATGAAGTTCTAGACCACAGATATACTAGAGAAGGACGAAGATGTGCCCAAGATGGTAAGACAGGAGTAGGTTACTCAACAACTTTGGATAAAGTGAACACCTCAAGTAGCCACAAGCTACTAGATCTAGAGAGTATGCCATGACCCGAGAGATACGGTTATCTTGTGACTCAACATGGTGACGTACTGTTACAAGACGATGAACCAGAACCTACGAAGACTCTATATCGATCCAGATTCTTTAAATGGCTTGAAGCATGAAATCTGAGATGGACCTCATGTACCAAACCAGTTGGTCTCTGGTGAAACCACCTAAAGGTAAAACCCATAGGTGTAAATGGGTCTTCAAGAAGAAGACTGACATGGATGGCAACGTGCACTTATAAAGCACGCTGGTTGCCAAAGGTTTCAAACAAATTCATGGATTGACTATGAGGAAACCTTTTCACCGTTGCCATGATTAAATCCATCCGGATGATGCTTGCATTGCTGCATATCATGACTATGAGATTTGGAAATGGATGTCAAAACTGCTTTCCTGACGAAAACCTTGAGGAGGATGTGTAAGACACAACTTGATGGTTTCGTTCTGATGCAACAAAAGGTATGCAAGTTGCAGAACCATTTATGGACTCAAGCAAGCTTCAAGAAGCTGGAACATTCGTTTTGATGAAGCCGTAAAAGAATTCAGTTTTATCAAGAAAAGATGAGCCTCTGTTTTACAAGAAAGTGAGTGGGAGCGCAGTAGCATTCCTAGTATTGTATGTCGATGACATACTTCTATGGGAATATATACCAACTTGTAGTCGTAAAGACTTGGTATCCAAGTGCTTCTCCATGAAGGACTTAGGGACAAGCCTACATCCTTGGTAAAGATCTATCAGAAGAGCGGGTGTTTGCTTGCCTAAGTTCAGAGTACATAATTGACAAGTACTGAAAGATTCAGTATGGAAGATCCAAGAAGGGATTTCTCCGATGTCACATGGTGTTTCTCTCTCTAAGGATGTGTTCCTAAAACAAAGATGAGAGAGATAGAATGAGAGAGCCCATATGCATCACAATTGGATCCATCTTTATGCCATGTTATGTACTCGATTGATGTCTCATGTGCTGTTAGTACTTGTAGTAGTATTACAACAGTCCAAGTGAGCGTCACTGATGCTCAAGAAATCTTAAGTACTTGAAAAGACTAAGGAGTTCTTGTTTATGGAGGGAAGATGAGCTCACTGTAAAGGATAAGTGATGCTAGTTTCCAAAGGAAAGATGATTATCGATCGAATCAGGATTTGTAGTTCTCAATGGGGTTGGTAGTGAGTGAAAAGCTCTAAGCAAAGCACTGTAGCGGATTATAATGGAGGTGAGTATATTGCTTATTCGATCGGCAAAGGAGGCAGTAGATTATAAGTTCTCATCAACTTGGTGTGGTTTCCAATTTTGTTCCATAGATTCTATTGGGACAACAATGGAGCAATTGCTCAAGCCAGGAACCAGGTCTCACCAAGTCCAGACACATACCAGACGTTCCTCTCATCAGAGAAGATGAGTTAGAGGAAAGATGTACAGATCAGTAAAGTGCATACTGATGATAACTCGTCGATCCTTAGCGAGCTCTATCTGTCTCAAAGCATGAAAAACACTTAAGGTCATTCGGTGTATTAAATACATGAATGATTGACTATAGTGCAAATGGGAGATGTATATACAAACTATATACATTCACATATATATACAAAACTTAATGCCTTGGAACCGACGACACGATTGGTTCCTAGGGCATACACTAACACCAAGAGCCATCTATCTTTTTGTTTTATGTTGTATGGATGGCAAAGTTTAGTTATCGTTATTGAAAGAACCGCCAGAACCATTAAAAGGTTTATTGGATGTGTCCAGTGGTAACAAATGGATTAGTTTTAGGAATAAAATAAGAATATACAATTCATTGTTCTCATTTACATCAATGGGATGGCATGTTGACCATGAGATTAACCAAGGGGGTGGTCCATATGTTTTCAAACTTTGCGGATAGAATTACCACCGAATAGGATCGTTACTTCCACCTGAAGGAAGGAAACCTGAGTTTGCGCAGCGTTTTATTTATGACATAGAGTATGAAACCAGTCATAGATTAAATTATGTACGAAGTAATACAGCCGATGCTACTGTTGACAGGGAATTAGTACAGGAATTGCAATTGATGTTTGATTCGAACAATGAATTGGTTAAAAGTTTTTGTTCTGTCAGGAACCATATCCATTGGAATGATATTAGAGATGTGCATTTGTGGTTAAAAATTAAAAAGGGAAAAGGATGGAAGACAATACAATTTGCCAACTACATATGAAATTGCAGGTTTAATTGTCGGTGATATTGGAATTTCAGAAACTGGAAAAGATGTCATTGTTCATCATTCGAAAAAGGGTCGTCAAAGAATTTCTGACTTGCATCCAAGCTTTATGGCATTAAGTTAACCAATATTATTTCCGTATGGAGAAGATGGATACAAAATTGACATTAACCATAAAGACTTTCCTAACAAAAAGTCTTCAAAGAGAAACAGGCTAAGCATGAGAGAATATTATGCATTTCAATTGCAGTGTAGATTATGTGAAGGGCATACTCTATTGAAATTAGGTGGATTATTACAGCTATATATTGTGGATGCATATATGGCTGTTGAAGAGGAAAGATTTCAATGGATTAGAAACAATCAGAAAAAATTGAGGAGTGATTTGTACAATGGGTTGGTGGATGCCATTTCAAAGGATGATGTTAATGCACAACATCTAGGGAAATCTACGTGGCTCCCTTCGTCTCACATTGGCAATCCCCGATGTCGTGTTTAGAATTATCAAGATGCAATGACGATTTGCTGATGTTATGGATATCCAAATATTTTTCTGACATTCACCTGTAATCCCAAGTGGCCAGAGATACAATATCTATGGAATTGTATTGGACAATGTGATCAAGAAAGTAGAATAACTACAGTTTGCAAAGTTTTTGAGATCAAATTGCTTGAGCTAATGCGAGAGATAAAAAAAGGTGAATATTTTGGTGAAACAGTGGCAAGTAAGTATTCCAACGAATAATATTTCTACTTTTTTTACAAATTGTAGTTCATTGATAATTTATGATATGAAATTATGTTATACCAACTATTGCTGAACACGTTATAATTGTTTCTGTCAGTTATCTACACTATCGAGTTCCAAAAGAGAGGCCTCCCACATGCTCATATATTGGTTTTTCTACATTCCCAATATAAGAATCCTTTGACATCCAAAATAGATGAAATAGTTTCTGCTGAAATTCCAAATAAGGAAACTGACAGTGTTGCCTTTGCAGTTGTGGAGAATACATGATCCACGGTCTGTGCGTTGATGGTAACAAGAATTCACCATGTATGGAGAAAGGAAAATGTAAAAAACATTTTTCGAATAAATTTGTCAATGAAATATCTGTGGATGACAATGGATACCGAATGTATAGAAGACGGAATAATGGAGCATTTGTTGAGAAAAAAGGTGTCAAACTGGATAACCGTTTTGTTGTTTCTTATAATAGGAATATTTTGGTTAAGTTTGATGCTCACATAAATATTGAGATATGTAATCAACATAGATCAATCAAGTATCTATTCAAGTATGTCAACTAAGTGTCGGACAGAACGTGAGTTTCTATGGAAATTGAAAACAATGGTCAACAGAACAATCAATGCCAGATTTTATAGGACAAAGAAAAAATAAAGGTATATCTGGACTATAGGTATGTACAAAATACATCAAATATAATGTTTTTATATTGTTTGTTGATATTTGTTATAAATACGATATTAAGTAATTCAATAAAAAACATTACAGATATATCTCTTCTATGGAAGCTTGCTAGAGGATATTCAAGTTTGACATGTATTACAGAGAACAAGTTGTTGAAAGATTGCCATTCCACTTAGAGAATGAACAAATAGTTATTTTTTATCCAAGTAAGTGTATGGTTCAAATTTTGGAAAGCAAGGTTGTTACGCAAACGAAATTGACTAAATGGATGAAGTGTAATCAACGATACCATTATGCAAGATCATTGATTTATCTTGATTTTTTGAGCGAATGGGTTTGGAAGGATACAGAAAGACAATGGTCCCCATGACAAAAATCAAGGTGTACTGGGAGGGTGTATTTTGCATTTCCAGGTAGTGGTGAGAAATATTATTTGCGAATGCTTCTGAACTTAGTAAGAGGAGCAACATCATTTGAAGATATTCAAATTGTCAACGGAGAAATATTCTCTACATTCAAAGATGCATGTTATGCATTAGGATTGCTTGATGATGATAAAGAGTGGAATGATTGCTTGGATAAAGCATCAACGTAGGCTACTTGAAGACAGTTAAGATAGCTCTTTATAACTATTCTTGTATATAATGAAGTGGTGAGTCCAGGAGACTTGTGGAGAACAAATGCAGAACGCCTATCTGAAGACATTCCCTACATTCTTAAACAAAAAACGCGGATGACAGAATTAAGATGCACTAAGGAACAAATTCACAATCATGCATTGTTCGAGATTGATGAGCTCATGAAAAAAGGAGGAAAATCCTTGGCTGATTTCCCTGGAATGCGAATTTCGGACTATTCCATTTTTTAGAATTCACAGAATAGATTAATTGCTAAAGAATTAGATTATGATATCGACAACATGAAAACAGTGCACAGTGATTTAAACAAGGGTCTCAACAATGGCCAGAGACGTGTATACGATTTAATCCTTGATTCCATCAACAATCAAAGTGGAACACCATTTTTTGTTTACGGACATGGTGGAACAGGCAAAACCTTCTGATGGTATACAATCATGGCCAAATTAAGATCTGAGGGTAAAATTGTACTCGCTGTAGCTACATCAGGAATTGTTGCATTGTTGTTATCTGGTGGAAGAAGATCACATTCACGTTTTTGAATTCATTTAGATATCGCTAAGGAATGTACATGTGATATAAAAAAGGAGACACAATTGGCAAAACTACTTGCGCAAACAGCTTTGATAATTTGGGATAAAGCACCCATGGCAAACAGGTATTGCTTTGAAGCTCTTGACAGAACTCTAAAAGATATTTTGTCTGAAAAAGATCAATCAAATGCAAATAGAATATTTGGAGGCCTCACCGTTGCCCTGGGTGGTGATTTTGGACAGATTCTACCAGTTATACCAAAAGGGAAAAAACATGACATAATACATGCCTGTTTATCGTCATCTTCCTTTTGGAAACATGTAACAGTGTTGACACTTACAGAGAACATGAGGTTGAAGACAAACTTGGTGAACCCAACAGAATTGGATAACTTGAAGGGTTTTGACAAATGGTTACTTAATATTGGAAAGGACAGGACATTGCAGAAGATGAAAGTTACATCCAAATACCTAAAGACTTGAAAATCGATCAACATACCAGTCATGAAGAAACGATTATGAATGTTGTTTTCTAAATTTATCTGCTCAAATAAATATTGTTGATTATATGTGAGAGAGAGAGAGAGAGAGAGAGTGTGTGTGTGTGTGTGTGTGTGTGTGTGTGTGTGTGTGTGAGCAATATTGACACCCAAAAATGAGACAGTACATAGATTGAACGACTATATCATCCAGAGTCTGCCAACAGATGGAAAAACATATTTCAGCTCGGACATCACTTGCAAAGCAGTAGGTATCTCAAACAATGATGACATTCTCTATCCCACAAAATTTCTTAATTCTCTGATGTGCTCTGGCATGCCCAAACATGAATTGCATCTGAAAATTGGCATTTCAATTATGTTACTGTGTAATTTGAATCAATCCAATAGTCATTGCAATGGAACCAGATTGATCATAGCCTATTTAGGAAAGTGGTCCATACAAGCAATGATTATCATTGGGTTAAACATTGGGGATATTGTCTGTAACGCCCCACTTGAGGTACGTATTTGTTGTTTCTTCCTTTGCTCTTTTTGAGTTGGTTTTTTTGGTAATATTGTTTGATTGAGTGTTGTGTTGAATGCTTGCCCTGAAATTGGTAGAAAATAGAAGAAGTTTAGTGTTTCAGTCTTCGCCGGGGCGAAGAAGAATCTTCGTCACGGCGAAGAGGTGTTGAAGCCATGGGGAAGCTGCTGGACAGTTTCGCCGCGGCGACAGAAGTTTCTTCGCCGCGGCGACAGGCCGAGTAAAATGTTTGTTAAGTTTTAGTATTTCTCCCTAAGGGCATTTGACCACTCTACCCCTAATTAGCAAAAAGTGGGGAGTTAAGTGTAGATTTTTCAGGGAGAATATGTTGATATGGGTGAGTTTATAATGAATCAAAGATATAGATGGAATTCCCAAAGAAGTTAAGGGCAAAATGGGAATGCTTTGGTATAAATTTCATTAAAAGGATTAAGAGTTAGCAAACCCTTCATTCTTCTTCTAAAAAACGCAACTCTCCATTCTTGTTCATCTCAACTCCTCTTTTCTTTTGATCAAGGAGTTTCAAGGATTTTTGAAGTGATTTGGAGTAGAAAGCAACCTAAGACTTCCTAGGTAAGGATTCTACTTAAGTTGTGTGATTGGTGATTTTAGTTTATATTAGTTTAAGGGTTTTTTCCTTTTGTTAAGAGTAGAGAAAAATTCAAGCAAAGCAAGTGAAGGAAGGTTGGTGAAGTCTCTCCATAACAGTAAGTAAATCCCAACCCAAGTTGAGATTTAGAATTTTCTTGATTAGGGTTTTGGTAGAAATGATGTATGATGTGATATACATGATATGCCATGTATGGAAGTTTAAATAGAGACTTCTATGCTTTGTGAATGTTAATACCTTGCAAATATGAGAAATGAGTGTTGTTGGAAAGGTAGTTTGGATAGATTGAAGGGGTGTAGGTATCCCCTTTTGGAGTGCTTTCTTTGACAGTTTTATGGTTATGTGAGGGTTTTTCCCCTTTTGGATGGTTAGGAAAGATTTAGAATCATTGCATAGTAGAGTTTTATAGTGCACTTGAGTTGTTTGATGAAATGCCTAATAGAGGTTTGAGTATGAGTAATGAACCTTAATTCTTGCAACATTGCATGTTGGCATTTCATAAGTGCATTGGTAGTGATGACCATCCATAGGCACTAATTGTGCATTGAAAAGTGACCTAAGAAGTGTAGAAAATTGTGTATGCAATTACCCTAGTAGAGAGCTTGGTGGGTACAACTACCTTAAGGGTAGAATGAAGAATGTTAGAATAGAGTGAATTAGAAGAGTAGTATAGTTGGGTTTATGCTTTGTGATCTCATCCGACAGTTATGGGAATCGGGTTGATGCTTTGTGATCACCACCCGAATAGCCCTTAGAGATGGTCGATGCTTTGTGATAGTCACCCGATGAGTAGTAGAAATGGTAGATGCTTGTGACCACTACCCGGTTAGTTGTTAGATAAATGGATTGATCTTGTGATCATCATCCAACATTTAGTAGAAGTGGGTTGATGCTTTGTGACCATCACCCGTAGTGACTAGAGACGGGTTATGCTTGTGATCGTTACCCAAATTCATGAGGAACGGGTAGGTTGAGGTGATCTCCACCCGATAGTTAAGAAAACCGAGTAGGTACTTTGTGATCCTCACTGCGTGAGTCACTAAGAACGGGTTGGTACTGTGTGAATTCCACCCGATAGTCATGGAGAGTGAGATGGTGCTGTGTGAACCCATCCGGCCGTACCTCCGTAGATAAGGCCATGATTGTTATTAGAAACAAAAATAGAATCAGAAATAGCATAGGAAAGATTAAGAGTTGTACATACGGGGACAGACAATAGAGGGTTTTTACTACTGAGCATATTTGTGCTCACTCCGTTATTTTCCTTTTGTGGATGCAGGATCTAGGTGATGATGCAGTCGGAGGGGCATCGGCAAGCGAAGAGAATAGCTACACTGTTTCCCCTATTTTGTCTTTTAAAATGAATTTTTGTAACAACTCTTTGTGTTAAAAGACATATGAATTATAATGAAAGAAAATTTTGGGGCCCAATTGTATATTGTTATTTGCATGCATTGTACTAGTTTTCAGCAGTTGTTACATTGTCACAATTCCCAAATAATATGTCAAATGTAGATATGAAGTGGCCTTTCAGGTTGAAGAGAAGAACATTACCTGTGACAGTAACTTCTGTATGACAATAAGCAAAAGCGAGGGTCAATCACTCAAAACACTAGGTTGTATATGAACCATCAAGTCTTACAACATGTCAATTGTACGTGGCACTATCACTATCAGAGTAACTTCAAGACAAGGTATCAAGATTCTGCTAGCCCTGCAAGAGATGAATCGACAGAGACATTGACAATATTGTTTCAAGAAGTCTTAATTGTATGGTTAATATGTTCTATATTAGAATCATTGTTTATAATAGAAAGGATTGATCCTTGTATATATATAGAATTGTTTATGAAGATTGATGTGAAAATTAAACTTATTTATATGAATATGAAAAGGTCACATTAATGTTTAAATAATATAGTAATATAATTTACTTGATACAAAGATATTTATATGTTTTATATTATTATTGTCAGTAACGACGAACACTACATTGAATGTATTATGTTATAAGTAAATATTTTTAAACACGCACTGATCTATAAACTATCGCATGGCAGGCACATCAAGATATTTAAAATTAATATTACATTAACTGTTTAAATATTTACAGAAATAACATTACATAAACTGGAGAATTTGTTTCACATACACAAAAAATTAGCATCAACTGAATACATCCACGTCCATGATAATAAACACTTGTGAGCCAAATTTTGACAAAATATTGTGAAATGCTTAACAAACGTTTAAATATTTATAGAAGTGCCATTAAGTGTACCAGAAAAGGTAACAACAACATTGCAATCAATATATCAAAATTAGACGGCTTCTCCTCATTTTTCAACTAATTGTCTCTAAACTAGAATCTTCATTTGGAAATCTGTGCTTAAATTCTTTGACACAAGCTTTTCTGGTGGCCAAAACATTTCTGACACCGAATCATAAACCTTTTCCTTATCTTTTTCAGCTTGTGCAATTGAAGATTTAATCTATTATTTTTTTCTCAGACAATTCAAACTTACTTTTTAAGACTTCCTTTGTGCTGCCGCTCATTTGCAAAAGACTCTTCAGCATTTTTAAATGATTCTTGATAGTGTTCAATTCAGTTTTGACCTTTTCAAATGCATCCTTTGATATTTTCAATTGTTTCTTTCAATTTGCAAGCCTCGACAATCACATCTCATTTTGTTTTTCAAATTTGCGACCACATCTTCTGAATAAGCCAACGTTCTCTAATTTCTAAGAAACTTTTATAGCCTATTTCAAAATATTGAAACCACCTTACAATTATCATGCCATAATTTTTATTCACATGATACAGTGAAAAAACATTACCTCTTTCCCTAGACTAAAAGTTTGTGCTGTCCAGATCTTCTTTACAAAATTTTTCCATTTTCATTCGAATTCGATGGACCCTGTTGCTGACAGTTTTCTGAGTGTTTCACACAATTGACGTAATGAAATTTCTTTTGATTGTTATCTTCTTCTTCAGTCAGTTTAACATGGCAGGAACCAGAATCAGGTTTCATAGGATTGGAGACTGATGCAAGTAAAACAG